TTCCCGCAGATATTTAATATTGCATAACAGATGAGTTGGTCAACAAATTCTTATTTTGCAAGACACGCAACTGTCTTATGGTAAAAGCGTACTATATAATAGAAAAAACGAATTCTTTTCTTCGATGAACGAAACATACGCAATGTTGAGAAAGGGTTCCGATGAGAGACCGAGACTGACATATTAAAGTTTAATGTGCACTTGACAATGTACGGCATTACTAATGCAGCTCGAAATGATGGATTGTTGTCGGAAATTTTACTGTCTCGATAAAAAGAGAAGGAAAACAAACTTATGCATTATTAAGAAGACGAAGAAAATTTTGCGGGCACTGAAACGAGAACAAGAATAAAGTCGGCAATTACGTGAGAACGATGCGAAGGTATGGACATTTTACCGATAAACTTCAGAGCTTTGCGTTTTTGCGGTGCATGGAAAGAGCGGGAGGACGACAACATGTGCGTTGGATTTTTGCGCTTTTGTTACAGGTATGTTATAAACATGCTGTAATAGATATACTAAATACAGGTAAATCATACGGTAAAAATAGTGCGTGATATACAAGACGTTTTCCGGTCTGTGAAGTTTGTCATGTCTGTGTGATCTTTTCTTCTCTTCTCCTCGTCAATTTGTTCATCGATTATTTAAAGCAGTGGGTATCTGCAGGTACGCGATTTTTCTCTTGATATATGAGTTTACGATATTCGATATCATAGAGGTGATTCGTACGCGTGACCACGTTCAAGAGCTGACCGAAGGGCTTTTCTTGGGGCTGACTTTCTTTACGACGTGCGTGAAGTACGCGAATTTCTTGCTGCGAAAGAACGAGCTATCGGATCTGTTGAATTGCCTGCGCGTAAAAATGTGCCAGCCGAGAAATTCGAGGGAGAAGCTGATAATAGAAGAGCACAGACGCAAAGGTACTCGAGTAATTGGTAGATATGATGTATCTTATGTATGCACATTGCTTGACGTATATGTAACGTATGTCGGAAGTGTATAAATTATATATCATATGTCATTAATGATCAAGGTAATTAAAAGTAACTGCAAATAATTACTTGTGCAAATATCATTTCTTGTTAACAGCATTTGATATTGAATCGTACTGCAAGTCGTTAAATATTTCATCGTTCAATTGATTAACTGCTTAATAATTAATTATCTTGGCAGTTCATTAAATATTATGTAACTTTGACAAGCGCGATAAAACGTAAAATTTTGTTAAAACACTGTGTTTTTTAAAGACTCTCTACTGCTTTTCTTCTTAAACCCAATCAATATTCGCAAGTCCAGTAGACCCGAACATTTTTTTCAATTGCGCTCCAAATCTCCAGATTGATTTGTGAAAAATTGTTCATAACAAATGCTTTTTACAGCTTTATATAATTTTCAGTTACATAATCTTATTCCTCGGATTTTGGCAAGATCTTCAAAATGAAAAAAAAGTGTTTAGTTACTTTAATTTTAAGCAAAGAAACATTAATTTAAAGTTTTGTCAGGTACACTAAAGCCACAAATACCGCAATAGAAATTTCGGAATAATAATAATAATAATAATAACAATAAGTACAATATAGTAGTTTATTGTATGCAATTTGTAATGGTTTACAAATAATGAATACTAATTAGGCTTAACATATGTAAAGTGTGAAAGATATTGAATTGCGAAATTGGATTTTCAAAACATTAAAAATTAATTAAAATTAATTGCGCGTCGGCGATGTGTACGCGCGTTCCTGATTTCTTCTTTATGAAAAATGGGAGATTAGTTAAATGTCTGTTAGCTTCAACTGGCGTTTTTACTTTACCGGAAGTCAAATGTTTGTAACAGCTAAGTGGAGCACTATAACGTTCATGATGATATCGTTCGTAAGTGGATTAGGCTTCATGCTCTCGCCAGCCTTAGGACTACTTAACGGGGGTGAACGCGTGCTGCCGGTGAAGTCGTACATCCCATACTCTGTGTCAAATCTACTTCCATATCTAGCTACGTATCTGCAGCAATTTTTAGCGATGTTCTACGCAATAATACTTAACGTTTCCTTCGACTCTCTCGTTTACGGCTTCACGATTCAAGCTTGCGCGCAGATCGAGCTGATGTGCTGCCGATTGGCTAACAGTTTAAACAGCACCGGCGACGTTTCTTCCGGAAGGAAGCGGGAAGTGAGCGTCTCGATCGTGGAATGCGTCAGACATCATTTGCTCGTGAGCATTCTGATAAAGAAAGTACGAGCGTTGTTCATGTGGACGGTAATGATCTTCTTCTTCTTCAGTCTGCTCATTGTGTGCACCAGTATCTTTCTAATATCAAAGGTATCGTAAAAGAGACGTTTTACGTTTCTTCGATGATACGACGTATATTTATTTCTTGCAGAAGAAACCGCTCAGCCTTGAGTTTCTTTCAATGCTCATGTATCTGAGCGATATGCTGCTTCAACTGTTCTATTACTGCTGGTACGGAAACGAGCTTGAGTTGAAGGTAAATACATAAATGTTATGTTGAAAATGATACATACAGAAGCATTTTTTTAAAGGAGCCTTTACATTACAAGCAGAAAATAATAAGAAAAATATTTGATAAGTAGAAAGTTTTAAAAAGTTTTGATGATTCAAAAAAACAGCTTGCGACGATTGTTCGAATTGTGGGAATGCATATCCTTCACTGGGAAGAATTAATATTTTCGTGCGAGGAAATATTACATTGGAAGGATAATGTTTTACAAATTTCCTTCTCAGAGTAAAAGCATCGCGACCGCTATTTATACCAGCGATTGGACGATGGTTACGCCGCGAGAACGCAGATCGCTGATGCTGATTATGATAAACAGTCAAAAAGGAATAATGATGTCTTATCACGGAGTATTTGCGTTATCTCTCAATACTTTTACTTGGGTAAGTAAAGGAAAATAAGTAAAACAAAAATTTTTACTTATAATGTGAGATTCATAAATTATAAGAATAAAAATTATTCCGGCAATTATCTGCGCATTTCAGCTAAGCTAAAAGCTTATGTTAATTGCATAGATTAACATGAATATACATAAATATATGTATGTTTGACGTTTTACATATGATAATACCTTATTTTCTTAGATTTGTAGGACTTCTTATTCAGCTTATAATCTCCTGCAGTCAGTGGCATAACTTCATAATTTGGACCCAGAGGCATGATCTTTTGAAAATCCTGTCATTGAAAAGAGTAGTGATAATACATTTTTCTTAGTAATTAAATTAAGGCTTAGACGGTTTAAATATCATAAAGTAAAAATCCAATTATGTTCCTATACACTTTGTTTCTTTTAAATAAGAAACAATACAGAAAATAAATTATTAAAACGTTAATAAATAATTTTTAGTTTCGAGAAAGAAAAATGGCATGATCGTGTTATATAGCTTTCTTCTCGACTTTGCGTTAGCGAACGGCTGAATTATTTTGTCTGTATTAAGA